ATGAGAGCATAATTATAGAGTCAATGCAAATGGTACTTAACATCCAGATAAAAGTCATATAAAAACATTCAGTTATTTGGGTATTTCTAACTAGTCTTTTTATAAAAGCGGCTAATGATAGATTATATATAATAACAACAGCAGCATATCATAAACTACTAAATGCCAAGTATCAATTAGTACTGTAGGTACCTGGCGCAATTAGAAAGAATCCCAGTCCAGGAGATCCAGGATCTGGTCTCAGTTCTAGGATGAACAAGCAGAATTTGCCTTTAGTCACAGACTAAAGATCATATGCTAAGACTACAGTCTGAATCATAAACTGCTAGAGGTAAAAGGTCAAAGCATATACTTTGATCAGCCAGCTGAGGTCCAGGTAACAGACTCCAAGAGGGAAAGTGACTAAAGCCACAGCCACACAGCAAGTTAGTTCCAGAGCCTCCCAGCACACAGCCTCTGAACCCTGGTCCCGGCCGCACTTCTTACCAATGACTCCTCATTTCTAGAGTGAGAACAATCACGCACGCTTGCTTCTTCCTCATGGAGGTGCTGGGATGGTCACTGGAACTAACTGGTGTTGAATGAATATGTGCTTGCTTGTATTCAAATGAGTTTGATGAAATAACTAGTCTTTGCGGGGATAGGTGGATGCAGTACCACACGAAATGGCCGTTTGCATAAATTCTCCCAGTGTGTGCCAGAAGGGCTGTGTTTCTCCAGAGCAGCAGGGCTGGCATTTTAGGGAGGATGTTCTCCCCAATCTGGGGGGGCCTCCCCACACTGCAGGATGTAAAAATACACAGCTGGCCCCCATTTACTCAGGAGGAGCAGCACCTCCTCCAGACGGGGGACTGCCCAAGGGCAGAGCAATTGGAAGCATCCAAATGAATGCAAAACAAAACAAAACAAAACAAAACAAAACAAAAAAAACCAAACCTATGAGAAACAAAACATCAAAATTCCAAGACGTTAAATAAAGATGGAATCAGTATCACTGATTTTTCCCTTTTGCCTCAGCATCCAATATGGCCCAGCATGGCAGTTCAATGATTCTGTCATTTAAAATATTGATATTTTGTTCATCATCAATGTCGGCATTAATCTTGATTTTTTTTTTAATATTTTATTTATTTATTCATGAGAGCCACAGAGAGAAACAGGCTTCCCTGTCAGAAGCCCGATGCAGGACTCCATCCTGGGACCCCCGGGGGTTCACAACCGGAGCCAAAGGCAGACACTCAACCACTGAGCCACCCAGGCATCCTTAATTTTCATTCTTTTAAGAGAGTTCATTAAAACACTATCTTGCTTGATTACGAAGTTTTGGGGTGCCCTGTAAATTCTGCACAGAAGTTTAAGGCCCTCACTCCCTTCAACCTAAGCAGGTGCTGCTCCCAGTCACTGTGACAACCCAAAACACCTGCACACATTTCCAAAGGCCTCTCTGGGTTCAGAGACTCTCTGAAATGGGGCCTGATTTTTCTCCTTTAACAAGAAGTCCAGAGAGAGGCAGCCCAGCCTAAAACAAGTGGCTCTAAGATGCCAGCAGGGCCCCAGGTTCCTTTGAGTCCTGCTGTGCTCACAAGACTGCTGCAGAATTAGGTCCTAGTTCCAGAAAGAAAAAAAAAGTAGGGTAAAGGGCAAAAACAAAACAAACAAACAACCCCACATTATCAACTGAAAAGGAAAAAAAAAAAAAAAAAACAGAACCTTTCCCCGGGAGCCTCATACAACAAACCTTCACCATATATCACAGGCCAGAAGCAAATCACCTGGCCACCCTAGCTGCAAGGAGCCCAGGCAGCTGAACACCTTTTCAGTGGGCACATCTCCTGCCAAAATAAAACTGGTGTTCCACCCCACAGTAAGAATGGAGGGGGAGAGTGAATAAAAGACAAGCAGCTAGAAATGGCTGCCGTGGGGGCCATGCAGGATCACAAATGCTGGCTCTTCTTTGGTGATTGCAAATAGCATCATCTCTGCTTGTAATCTGATGGTCTGCCTGGGCAGAACATTTTTATGGTCACTTTTAAAATTACGGATAAAATCCAGAATGTGATCCTAGGTTGGGCTCCATAGAAGCAGGGCCTGAAACAGAGACTTAGGTGCATATGATTTATTAAGGGCACACTCCTAGGAGAAGCTTGCAAGGACTGAGGGGAGCACCCAAGGTAAGAAGAATGAGAGACGCAAGGACACAATCTCCCGTAAAGTTTTTGTCTGGCCCAGACACTCAAGCGGCTATTAGCCTAAATCCACAATACAGAGTTGTCCAGCTTTGAAGCAGCTCAGCTCTTCACCCTTGACAAATCAGTTGGCCACTTGCTGCCTCCTTTCGTGCTGATGGGACCAGGGCAACCGCCCAGGGTTCTCTAGGTAGTGCAATGTCCATCAGCCAAGAGCAACATGTCATAGAGGGTCACAGGTGTGAGTGGTTTGCCAAAGCACATGCTCCAGTGTGGGGGGCGGGAGGGGGTTGGGTGCCCCACCCCTAAATGTGGATCTGGGTGGGCAGCAGGGGCATCTATTATAAACATCAGATTTTGATACACTTTCCAGTGAACTGCCTTTATTTCTATTTTGTACCATTTGAGACCATAACCCTAGATATACTGCTATGATTTAAAAGCTATTAGAGAACTGGCAATGATGTTTAAAGATGTTTCATTTTTAGGAAAAATGAATAACAGGTGTTGACTTGTTTTGTTTGCACCACGAATGGAGAAAGCGTTTTATAATTGGCTCTGGGTATTAACCAGGACCCAGTCTGTAGTTCACAATCTCATCAGAGCATGTAAATATTTCATAGTCTTAGTGTCTCATTTAAAGCTCAATGAATATTTAATTGAAGTTGACCAACAAAATAACTGAAAGAATTATGTTGCATTTAGTTAGGCCTAAAATGAGCAAGCTCTTCATTTTCTCAAGTAGTTGGAAGCTAAAATTATTCCAACTTCATGAAATATTCTACATAATATTATAAGTAATTAAAGGGCTGCAAAATGGGTTTGAAAGGCACATATTAAATATTGAGAAAAACATGAAATAAAATGAATTTTCAACTTTCAGTGTAAGAGAATAGTTTAATATATTGTCACCTCCAACATTACTTATTCAGCAGTGGATTAGTTTAAACTATTGTCAATACCCTCTCTTTTTGACACAAGAAGTAAAAATAGAATATTTTCTTTGTCCCTTACAAATTAAATATTCTAGAATGATGATGTGCAAATACCTATAAGATTGATATTAACAGGAAACCATGCATGATCCATCCAAGTAAGCTAGCCCAGAAATTGCTTCTGAACTCTGGGTCCAGCATTGGGCCATGTACTGAAAATAATTTTTTAAAAAAATTTTTTGAAGAGAGAGAAATAATGGTCCATGTTCAAAGTAGTTATGGTTTCCCTGGAAAGAAGCTTCCCTGCAGTCTGTTAGATCTCCATAAGCGTCGGAACTGGGCTTCAAAAAAAAAAAAAAAAATATGTGCTCTAATTGATCAACCCTAACACAGATGACACAGAATATGTCACTTCTACCAAATTTGAAGATATTTTAATTGGAATCAAAGCATTGCCAACTAATCCATGCTAAGGCTGCTAGAAACCACCTGGTAAACTTAAGGGTATTAAGGTTTGAATGCTTTATCTAGTCCTGGATTATTTTTTAAAATTTACTTACTTATTTGAGAGAGAGCATGCGTGTGCTCGAGTTGGAAGGTGGGGGAGGTGCACAGAAAGAGAGAATCCCAAGCAGACTCCTCGCTCAGCACAAAGCCCAACGCTGGGCTTGATCCTATGACCCTGAGATCACAAATTGAGCCAAAACCAAGAGTTGGATGCTCAACTAAGACACCCAGGTACCCCGTAGTCCTGAATTATGTTTTAATTACAGAATCTAAGTAATTTATTAATAGGTTCCTTTTTGGAGAACAGAACATGAGGCCATGACACAGGGTTGTCTCATAAACACAACATATCCCTTCTGCTGTGTTACAGGAAATAACTGGTCACCTTGCTGGGTTTTTTCACTTTGATCTTTGTCCCTTTTTAAGATATTAAAATGGGGCAGCACCGGTGGCTCAGCGGTTTGGCACCGCCTTCAGCCCAGGGCATAATCCTGGAGGCCTAGGATCGAGTCCCACATTGGGCTCCCTGCATGGAGCCTGCTTCTGCCTCTGCCTGTGTCTCTGTCTCTGTGCCTGTGTGTGTGTGTGTCTCATGAATGGATAAATAAAATCTTAAAAAAAAAGATTAATATGGATTACTTTTTTCAATTATCAATATGTCATGATATGTGTGTGTTAGGTATACAAATATATATGTCAAGTTCAGGCTCTTGTCTAATAATGGTGCCTCTTTCCTTTACTTCTACTATTCATGCCATGTCACCCTTTGGTTCTCAGGGATAGGGAACCATAATCAGTACACAGAAAAGAGAAGATGTCTTTCTGTTGCTATTTAATGGCACATTCCAAATCAAACAAAATGATCTCATTAATGGCAACTCTCTAAGCAAAAAAATGACACTGCCCAGACTCTACGTGTCTAGAGGAGGACAGATTATCCTGTCCAGGGGAGGAGAGGAGAGAACGGTTGATAAGCATTAGCCAAGAAAGATAAACATGTGGTGTCCTGCAACCAATGGGCCTGATCAAAAACAGGAGTGTCAGGATACTTTTCTTCTTGAATTTGTTTTTTTTCTTTAGACTTTATTTATTCATGAGAAACACAGAGAGAGAGGCAGAGACATAGGCAGAGGGAGAAGCAGGCTCTTCACAGGGAGCCAGATGTGAGACTTGATCCCCAGACCCCGGGACCATGACCCAAGCCAAAGGCAGACGCCCAACCACTGAGCCACCCAGGTGCCCTTGAATGTGTCTTTTCAAAAGAACCTGCCTTAACATTTACACTGAGGACTCTTAATTTTCTCAAATCCTTACTATATCATACAGGTAACATTTGAAGATTGCATTTTTTCCCCAACAACATGCAACTTACCTGCTTATCAAAAGCTACCCAGGATGGTGCATCGCTTCCCATTTCTTTAAGAAATGCACTGTATTTAGGCTTTGTCTTTTGCCCCAGAAGCAGCTCTCCACCAATTCCAGGTTTGTCCTCACTCACCAGCATGCCAACATTGTTGCAAAAGCCCCAATGTTGAGATTTGTGGAACTTCTCTTTTCCCACCTACAAACACAGGAGACCACATAAGATGGCTTGAAGTTGCTCTTTGTGTCTTACTGTTTTTTTAAAAAAGGGCAACACATTCCCATCGTTTATTTTTCCCATTACAAAATGCACATTTGAGTGGCAAACGATTACAATCAACCTTTATCCATAAAGTGGTGTCACATTTTAAATTCCATTCATTTTAGCAAATTCACAACTTTGAAAAGCAAGAAGAAACCCAAAGCTCCATGCTATTGAAAACGGTTAAAAATAACTATTACTGCAAGTGAACGTTTAGAACATTAGCTTGCTAATTAGCCTATTCTACTTATTTGCCAAGAACGCAAATGGGAGGTGGGGGGAGGGAGAGTCCTCTCCTTCGGAGTAAAAATTTAACAGTTTTCCCACATAAGCCTAAATGTTATTTGCACCAACACAGAAAATAAAATCTTTTCCTCGTTAAAAATCAATGTAACAGAAAATTCCTCAGAGCTGACATTCTCATCCTAATTTTAAAACCTTGCCATTCCTTTCCCTCACTCCTCTTCCATCTTTTCTGGGATCTGGGCAGAGAGAGAAAAGCCTGGATGATACTACCAAGGGTTGGCAAAGATGTGGCTGCTCGTGTGCAATGCTACAGAAAAGTAAAGGAGATGATGTCTCTGAAGAGACATCCATACAAATTTTAGAATCATTTGTTCCAGCTCTGTGAAAAGTGTCGATGATATTTTGACAGGGATTGCACTGAATGTGTAGATTGCTCTGGGTTGCATAGACATTTTCACAATGTTTGTTCCTGTAATCCATGAACATGGAATGTTTCTCCATCTCTTTGCATCTCCCTCAATTTCTGTAGTTTTTGGAGAAAGATCCTTTGACTCTTTGGTTAGGTTTATTCCTAGGTATCTTATGCTTTTGGGTGCAATTGTAAATGGGATTGACTCCTTAATTTCTCTTTCTACTGTCTCATTGTTAGTATATAGAAATGCAACGGATTTCTTTTTTTTTTAAATAATTTTTTTTAACTTTTATTTATTTATGATAGTCACAGAGAGAGAGAGAGAGAGAGAGAGAGGCAGAGACACAGGCAGAGGGAGAAGCAGGCTCCATGCACCGGGAGCCCGATGTGGGATTCGATCCCGGGTCTCCAGGATCGCGCCCTGGGCCAAAGGCAGGCGCCAAACCGCTGCATCACCCAGGGATCCCTGCAACGGATTTCTATGCATTGATTGTATATCCTGCCTCATTGCTGAACTGCTGTATGAGTTCTAGAAATTTAGGGGTGGAGTCTTTTGGGTTCTTCCACATAAAGTACCAGGTCATCTGCGAAGAGGGAGAAGTTATACACAACTGAGAGATTACTGAACACTACAACAGAAACTAATGATGTACTATATGTTGGCTAATTAAATTTAAATTTTAAAAAAAGAGAAATCTAGCAATACCTAGGAAAGTGAGAAGGGTGTATGCCCTATGGCCTAGCAAGTCCATTTCCAAATATCCTTTGCCCCTGTGCACCAGGAGCTAAATATAAATAATAAATAAATATATAATAAATGCAAATATTTGTGTATATCATATCACAGAATGAACATCCATCCACAGCCCTGAATAAAAGATAAAACAACTCAAGATGACAATGAGACCTCTCTTGTGCCCTCCCTGCCTCTCCAAAGGTAACCATTACCCTGAATTTGTTGCTTGAGCTCTAACATTTTGCCAGGATTCTATATAGCCAGGGCAGTAGCCTTTTGCAAAAGCATAACGCCTTGGCCAGGAAGTCTGAGAAGAGGTTTGAAAAGACCTCAATTTCAAGGCAACCTACTGAACAGGAGAAAATATTTGCCAATCTTCTATCTGATAAGGGGTTAATATCCAAAATATATGAAGAACTATACCTCAAGAACACAAAAACCAACAATACAATGAAAAAATGGGCAGAGGATCTAAACAGGTATTTTTCTAAAGATGACCCACAAATGGCTCATCATCGGGGAAATGCAAATCAAAAGCACAATGAGGTATTACTTCACACCTGCTAGAACAGCTACTGTTCAAAAGGACAAGAAATAGCAAAGTGCTGGCAAGGATGTGAAGAAAAGGGAAGCCTCGTGCACTGTTGGTGGTAATGTAAATTGGTGCAGCCACTGTGGAAAACAGTATAAAGGTTCTTGAAAACATTAAAAATAGAACTACCACACAATCTAGCAATTCCTCTGGGTATTTATCCTAAGAAGACACAACTCAAAACAATATATGCACCTCTATGTTCACTGCATTATTTAAAATAGCCTCTAAGACATAAAAACCTATGTGTCCACCAATGAATCAATGGATAGAGAAATCAGGATACGCACACATGCACATGTGGAGTATTATTCGGCCGTAAAAAAAAAGAATGAAATCTTGCCATTTGTGACAATATAGTTGGATCCTGAGGGCATTATGCTAAGGGAAACAAGCCAGAGAAAGACGAATATCATCTGATCTCACTTACATGCAGAATCTTAAGAACATAAAAAAACCACAGGCTCATAGATACAGAGAACAGATTGGTGGTTGCCAGAGGTGGGGTGGGGGTGCGAGTGGGAGGGGGAATGAGTGAAGAGGGTCAAAACATGTAAATATCTAGTTACAATTAAGTCCTAGGATACAATGTACAACATGGTGACTATATTGTACTGTTCATTCAAAAGTGGCTAAAAGAGTAAATCTTAAAAGTTCTCATCACAAGAAAAAAAATTTTTATCTATGTGTGGTGACAGATGCTAACTAGACTTATTGTGGTAATCATTTTACAATATATACGAATACAGAATCATTTGTACACCCAAAAGTAGTATGTCAATTATACCTCAATAAAAATATAAAAGGCTCAATATTAAAAGGAAAAGAAAATACCTCGTTTCCACTTATAATGAAGTCAGCCTAGAAGAATCCAGAAGAGCCTGAGCAGCCCTACCCAGGGGAGCCAAGGTCCCAACAGCTGTCCTGGGCAGCCCAACTCAAAGGCTACGAGAAGAAGGCCAGAGGCAGTGGTTAAGATGGTGGGCCACAGCCTGGCTCTGTCCCTTTAGGGAATCCAATGTCACCACCGCTACCAAGCTCCCGCTCCACCCTGACACTTATACACATTCAGGTTACCACAAGTCAATCCCAAATCACCAAAGCAAAGCAAAAGTTGGATTGGCTAAAATGAATGGTGGAGTAACAGAACTGTCTAACACTGTTCTCTCACTGAAACCAAATAATCAGGATGCCTGGGTGGCTCAGTGGTTGAGCGTCTGCCTTCGGCTCAGGGACTGATCCCAGGATCAAGTCCCACATAAGGCTCCCTGTGAGGAGCCAGCTTCTCCCTCTGCCTGTGTCTCTGCCTCTGTGTGTGTGTGTGTCTCGAAAGAAAGAAAAAAGAAAGAAAAGAAAAAAAGAAAAGAAAAGAAAAGAAAAGAAAAGAAAAGAAAAGAAAAGAAAAGAAAAGAAAAGAAAAAAAAAAAGAAAAGAATCTCAGCTGGCTCTGAGTTCCTGTGGCCACTCCATGTACATACCCAACCCCCTTTCAGCTCTTATACCATTCTGCCTTGAATTGTGTATTACAACTGGTTGTGCCTTTGCTCTTTGAAAAAAAGAAAAAGACAACAATAAATAAAATTAAGCAAGTAATCTCAGGCAATCACAAACTCACCTCAGGTCAAACCAACAAATGTTTCTTAAGCATTTAAGAAATTCACAATCTTGCTGATGAGATTAAGATTTAGATCCGTAAAACAAATACAGAGCTAGAAAGCAGTGCAGATACCATTTCTAACCACTTACTATGAGATAGACTACGAAGGGCTTTATATACATTACCACCACCAAACTATCTGATTGATAAAAATGGAGGTGATAAAACATAGGAGGAAACCAAAGTAGAGAGAGGAAGACTAGCACACTCACAGTTATGCTGGAGCTAGTGCAACCTACATCTGAACTTAAGTTCACGTGACCTCAAGCTCTGGTCAGCCAGGCTGGAGGAGTAGCGTTGAGGTCTTACAGGTAAACAGATCCTGTCCTGGCAGGACAGACAGCAGCAGACAGGCAAGGGTAGTAAGTAATGCACTGCAGCTGAGCTGACAGTGCCTAGCGGGAGGGGCAAGAAAGTGGTTAGTCTAATAAAAAAAAAGAGAGAGAAGTTCAAGTTTGGAAGGACAGTAAGCAGAGTATGTAAGGAGATCTATATTATGGAAAGCCTCACGTTTAACTACTGTATACGTCTGAAACTCTCCTTGAGCAAGGATGAAATATAATCAAAGACTGGGGTGGCGATGGTCCAGATGGACTGAAAACCATTTTATAGCCATCAGAATGGCAAGAATTAGAAAGCTGGATAATCACATGGTTTCACTCATATGTGGAATATAAGAAATAGTGAAAGGGACCATAAGGGAAGGGCAGAAACTGAGAGGGGGGAAATGAGAGAGGAAGATAAACCATGAGAGACTCCTAACTCTGGGAAACAAAGGATTACAGAAGGGGAGGTGGGGGGGAATGGGTAACTGGGTGACGGGCATTAAGGAAGGCACGTGATGGAATGAGCACTGGGTGCTATACTATATGCCAGCAAATTGAATTTAAATACGAATTTAAAAAAAACAAAGTCGAATAATATCAAAGTTTGTAGAGGAGGTGGGAAAAAAGAAACCTTAATATTGTTCAGATGAGAGAGTAAACGGTCATTCTGGGAAGCAATGGGATTTGATTCAAGAATCAAGAATCTCCCATTTGCAATAACATGGATAGAACTAGAGAGTATTATGCTAAGCAAAGTAAGTTAGAGAAAGACAAATACCATATGATTTCAGTCATATGTGGAATTTAAGAAACAAAGCAGCAAAGGAGAAAAATGAGAGAGACATGAATCAAGAAACCAACTCCTAACTATACAGAACAGGTGGTACCACCAGAGGGGAGGGGGGCGCCGGGGGGAATAGGTGAGGGGGATTAAGGAGGGCACTTGTGATGAGCACTGGGTGTTGTAT